GGGATACAATCAAACATGGGTGCAAACGACGACAGGTTTAAGGTCAATTGCAACTAATCAAGAATGAGGTTAGCAGAACAAGCTACAGGTCAAACGTGGAGAAATTTGAATACTTCACTTCCATTTGAAGTTTATTCTGATGATGTTGTTCAGAAGAATAATGAAAACTTCACAACCAAAACATCCAGCTGAGGGAAAGAAACACCAACACAATCATCCACCTGAGCTACAAATTTTCTTCAACATCTGAGAATACGTATTAAAAAAGAATTGAAGTTTGAAAACAATATTTGTTATTGATTACTTTTGTGAAAACAGTCTTCGTTTCATCGAACGTATCGTAAGTAGGAGGCAAGAAAATAAAGGATGCTCATACTATACTGTTTATTAAGTAAAATAGCATACATGACTGTTTCAAAGCGTACATTAGTATGATCAATAGAGTATGGTAATAGATTCGAGTTCACTCAGCGGTTAAACTGCAAAACGTAGCTTAACCGTCTCTTTAAAATAATTAGAATTTGTGCTAAAATTATAATATAAGATCTCATTAAAACATCAGAAATTATTGGTAATGTTAACAAAATAATTTTGGTGATTAATTTTGTTTTATTGAAAGTAGCCTGGTATCACTGAATGGCCGTTTCGTCCTACCATAGGACTCATCAAGACCTCGCATCCAAGACCTCCGAAAGTGGAAATCAAACCAAGGACCTTCGGTCTTGCACGAGAATACTTAACCTTTAGTTGAGTTACATACTAGGAAGAAACACATGTCCAGTGCTTTCAGGTTTCTCTCTAATAGTGACCTAACAGTGACTGATTTATGGTTTCAATAAAAATCAACAGTCTCCGAAACCCTACACTGAAAGCTGTTTAAAATAGTATGTAACCAAAATTTAATCAAAACCCATATGCATGATAGTATGTTAAGATTTTGGGATGAAATAATTAATAGTAGTTTTCAAAAACAGTTAACCAATAAATATATCAATAAGAATTTGGAAATCTTTTTGAGAAACTGATATGCTTGAAACTATTACAAGTTCACATTACTCAGTAAACGGAGCGCAGATAAATGATGCAGTGACATGATAGGCTATACTAATTCCCTTGTCCCACGCTCGCTAGCTAGTTCAAAAAGTCTTAATAAGGCGTAGAGAAGGTATTAAACAGGCATTCACAAAGATTTTGGCTTCTAAGCACACAAATGAGGCTTATCAATACAACATAAGCAACGTTCTTGAGAGAGCCACAAAATAGAGTACTAAAATAATACATCAACCAGTGACAGTCAAATATTTTCCGAGTGGGAAATTTAAGCTGTATGTCAACTAAGCGTCTCTTAGCGCAAAAATATAAAATAACAAAATTAAGATCTTTTCCAAGTGAGCTCTGGGAATCTAACATCCTCAACAGAAACTGAATCAAACAAATATACATAAAACGATTAGGTAATAAAATATACTATTGTCTTTTTCACATTAACTTATAAATGTATTGTTCAGTTAAACTGTTGAATTACTTTTTAACAATTAAAACTAGTAATAATAATAATAATAATATGCTTTTTGTTTATTAGATTAGCATTTTATTTTCTCTTGTGAATAATTTACATTTTGCTACTAGTTAGATGTGCATATATACGCGTATTTTTTTTCATGAACATGCTTTCGCGTTGATATGAGTTCATATTTTATAACATTTTATTCATTATTAAACTACTCGTAGTGGATTACATACTCATTCACGTAATCGTTTCAATGAGTGCTTACTAACCATAAGTGGTAGTTATGCTTATCTCAAATAGTGTAGATAAAATCCCAAGTTGATATTTAACCTATCAGTGTTAGACCAGCATTAGAAAAATGGAAGCAATAGACGACCGCGTTTCGTCCTAGTTTGGGACTCATCAGTGGCAGTGTGCATCCACGACTCATGCATCTCGCAGGATTCGAACGCGAGACCTTCGATCTTGCGTGTGAATGCCTAACCTGTGGACCACTGAGCCGGTACCTAACGGTGTCAGGGTCTAACTTCGATCAGTTCACGGAGTTGCGCAACCTCATACACTGTATTCGTTAGTTACTGTCTACACCCGAACAGGTTGAACTTCACCGGTTACGACTTCCTATTAGAACTCAGAGGAGAATTTGAGATGGTGGAGAAAATTTGTAGCTCAGGTTGATGATTATGGTGGTGTTTCGTTTTCTGAGCTGGATGTTTCGGTTGTGGTGCGTTCACTGTTCTTCTGAACAACATCATCAGCAGCACAATCTTCAGATGGAAGTGAAGCATTCGAATTTCTTCACGTTTGACCTGTAGCTTGTTCTGCTAACCTCGATCTTGATTGGTTGTTGTTGGTCTTAAACCTGTCGTTGTTTGCATCACAACCAAAACATAGAGCTCAGAGAACTAAACACTACCACAATCGGTGAAGATTCTTAACGGAGCTAGTCACTAGTGAGCACAGGTAATTGTATTACCGGGTTGTGAAAATTTCAAATGTGTAACTTAATAATCTTCACAACCCCGTTATGCAATGCCTAATCTGTCTACAATTTCGGTTAAGCAGAAAAATCAGAAATAATTCGTGAAATTCCACCGGAACTATCTTGACAATTCAATGAACGAGACAGTAGATAATAGGTAGTAGTAGTAGTAGTAGTAGTAGTAGTAGTAGTAGGTAGCTACCTGTTAATTGATTGATGACACTCAGACATACATACATACACTTTACCAAAATAAATGCAATTATCTCTGACTCCCAAAATCTATCATCAACCAACTAATAGAATCTGATTCACAAACTAACTGACATTACTGATCTTAATTTATATTACCAATTTTTTTTCTTTCTAACTTTCTCTTTTGTAAGTTATTTAATTCACAGTTTCTTTCTTGTACAAAACTTGTACAAAAATCACTTGACTAATTTCATGATTATTTTCATTTCACATTGTTTTACTGTTTTCTGTCAAATAAGAATACTCTTAATTAAATCTGTTTTTTTTTCTTTAAAAAAAAATTTTGCATGACCTCTTTGAGTTAATTAAACACAGTATACTTTTATACTTCACATGCAATTGATGAAGACTCAAATAAAAATCTCCTTAAAATAAAAAAAAAAATGAAATTGTATAGTCTGTTGAAATGAAAAAACCATTTATTCGATAGAAAGAGATGTTTATTCATGCATGTAATGAGATGTTTATTTGTTTTGTTAAGTATATATAGAGAAGGTTAAGTATTCGGATTATTGATTGATTAATTATTTGAAATGGTGGTATTGTTTAATTGAATTCATTTGTATAGATATATTTATATTCATTCATTCAATGTCCAATGTATTTGATCAAATTTCAATTATTTTTTTTTCTTTCGATGATTTATTCAAGTGACAATTTAATGAATGACTTTTGAACATTAAAAAAAAGTAAAACAAACAATTTGAAATTTTATTGAATTGAATAAAAAGATTTTTAACCTAATGGAACTACTTTTTTCTTTTTTTTTTCTCTGTAGATTTATGTTTTGAAGTATTACAGACTAAGAAAGAGAAGATAATTATGATTTCCCAATCGAACATCTGATGTCTAAATCATCATGATAGTCGTTTGTAATTGTTTTCACAACATCCTGACAGTAGATATGTTGGACTATAAGAAACAAGTTCAGAGTAGTCATGTTTGAAGATAAATAGTTAAAGATTTTTATACTACTACTGCTAAAAAAAACAATATCTTTTGTCTTCATTATCTTTCAAGTCCGAAGGCTTAAATATGTTATTTTAAATAAAAGACAAAAACTCTCTCGTCTGATGATTAAATGAAAATTATTTCAAGATATTTAAATAATGTTAAGGTCGAAAAGTAAATCTATATTTCTTCTAGTTGTATAAAATAATGGCGACTGAGTTAAAATAGATTATTATTTGTGAAATGTACAAACTATGTTAGAAGAGACTTAAAATTTCTTAGTTCATTTTGACATGATGTTTCCTTGAAAGGAATAATTTATTTTCCTTTTTTTCACTAGACATTTTATAACTAACTATTTAAAAATGGTTCGATAATATCATGAATATAATGTATATTCAATAAGAATTTGACGATATTTATGTTATGTTCATCAACAATTGATATGCTTGAATGCTATTACGAGTTCACCTTAGTCGATAAACGGGAGCAAAGATAAATCATCCCTGTGAGATGATAGGCTACTCTAATCTGAGCGTCACAAGGCCCCACTAAGTAGAGGGAGAAGTCTTGACAAGACGTAGAAATTGTATTCTAAAAGCAGCCAGAAAATATGAGGTTGACCAGCACACAAATTGAGTTTATTTATACATGATAGAAACGTCCTTAGGAGAGAGCCACAAAAATAGAGTACTGAAATAATGCACCAACGA